AGCACTTAGTCTTCTGGTTGCCGTGTCGCGTATGCTCTAAAGCTTCTCTAAGCAAAGAATCACCCAAGCTCCAGCCATCGAATCGCTGCACCGGGGTGTCCTGTAATTTAGAGGTGAGAGTTCGGAGCTCGGCTTGGCGATGACTTTGAAATCGATTTCAAAAGGTCGCACCGACTGGCACGGCGACACTTGGGTGGGTCGCGCTGCCGGGGTTGATTCATTGTTTGTGCACATCTTGCCTGGCTCGGGCGAGGTCGCGTAGGCTGCCCATCGAAAGCGCAGGAAGGGCTCAGTTGATGGGACCTCGGCCATTCTCTCGGGTCGTGTTTCTGGATGTGGATGGCGTCTTGAACTCGGCGGTCGAAGCGGCTGCAGGTTCTTGGCTCAATGAAAGGATGATCCGATCGGAGTTTGAAGAGCTTGCACTGCGCCCCGGGACCTGAAACCATTTTAAACCTCTGTCGGGCCTGAAATGACATGTCGAGAGATGTCAGAGAAGCGTGGAGATGGCAAGAGGATGCTTGTGGAGCGGTAGCTCGAGCCGCTGCAGGGTCCGACTACATCCCAGTTCTGACTGGTGGCTTATGGCTTGAGAGGCTGCTTGGTCGCCCTTGTTCATCCGAGTGTCTCTCCACGACCTCGTAGCTAAAGCCATGCCCAACGAGAACAAGATCGACGAGCGCAAATGCCCAAGTGGCTCCAAGGAATCTGATCCTGAGACTACGGGATCTTTTGCACTGCGGCCAGGCCAGGCGATGCAAAGGGCAGAGGCAAGTGCTTTCCATTGCTTCCTCTGAAGGGCGAGCTAGAGCAGCTAGAGTAGCTAGAGGCTTGCATCAGGCTCCTGAGCGGACGGACCCATAAAGTCTGCAGGCACGCGTTGTGATCTCTTCAAGCTGGCGGCGGGAAGATGCTGCTGTCAAGGAGTCTTTTCATGTTGAGCTATGAAATGCCCGAGCAGAGTATGCGCTGACACTGCGAAGTCGAGGTGCTGAAGGGAGCGTGTGCAGACGCTGGCATTGCATCATGGCGCTTCATTGGCTACTGAGATGCATAAGCTGCTGTGACCTACAGGAAGCCCTGTCCACACGAGGTCAGACTCCCGAGATGAAGGCATCGGCACGAACAGCTGCAGGTAGAAGAGTCGCAGAGATTCTCCACTGGCTGGCTTGGCATCGAGTCCAGCCCTTTCTCCGCAATAGTCGTGCAGTTGTGGTGCCGAAGCAGTTGCGAAGATTCTTCTCTCACCGTCAACTAGAGGCTTGGCGTGCAGCAGTGGGTGGCGCAGCCTGGGATGCAACAGAGATGTGAGACACATTCTGGTCTACTTGGGGTTTGGAGTTCTGAACTGTTGTCTGAGCCAGGCTGGACGACATGGATCTGGCTGGTGTTTGTCCGCCCCACCTCCGGCTGCACATGATTCGAACAGATGTTCATGTTGGTCTACAGCCAGAACAGGTGGAGGGAGCGCTTTCGGCAACTTGGTGCGAAAAGCACACGTGCAGGTGCCATCAGCTTACAGAGCCTTTTGCAACACCTGGAAAAGCCTAGGTGCTGGGATGTGGCCAAAGAATTTGCCCGGCAGTGTCGAGAGCCTCTGGACCGCCCAAAGGCCATGCGTGATGCAGATGGCTCCAACTTGCACTGGATGAAAATCAGCCTTGTATTTCTTTAGAATGCTGTTTTGGAGTGTGTGGCAAGGTTAGGGCGAAACCGGGGCGGGGGGAGGCGGGACTAAGGGATTCGTTTCCTTCGTTCCTCGACTCCAGGGCACGATCTCTTTCGCTATATTGCCTGCCCGTGCCCCTTTGTAGTCATGTATGCTTTCCCAACGTCTCAGTTCAGGGTGTCCATCCTCGTCTTCCCATCCTCGCCCATTCTCGATGCGAGAACGTGGCTTCTACTTACGACACCTTGCATCGTGGGCTTGGGTGGCTTCCCTGCCCACTTCTCTGCTCCTCCTTCCCCCCTGTCCCCTCTGTCTTCTCGATCTATCTCGTCCTTCTTCCATTGCTCTCTTGCGCGTTCCTCGCCCGTCCTGCCGGTTTTCGCCTCTGCTCACCCCCACGTTCCTTCCTTGCTGCCTGGCTGTATTAGTCCTTAATCCTCGCTTGAACCCTATATGCAATGCTTGCTGCGCAGCCCTGTGATGGGGGGGAGAGTTGTGGGCCGCATCAGCTACGGCTGACCCAATCCCTGAAAGACTTACCACGAGCAGAAGAACGTGGCTACTGTATTGAGTCCTTGCAACGCATGACAAAATGTCGTGTGCACGGCAGCCACCAGTAGCATTGCCAAGTGAGGACATGTTGCAGTCGACCGCTTGTCCCATTGCGTGGTTGTACGACCTGTAACCGTAGCTGATCCACGCATCAGCATGGCAGGTATTGTTCTGGACATCGACGGCACCCTCATCGACTCGTTGCATGTGTGTCGACCCTGGGGCTCGTTCGTGGCTTTTTCAGAGCCAACCCATGTGCACGAGGAGTCGTCCGGGATGTGTTTGTCGTTTGTCGTTATGCTTGTCTCACAGCCGCTCACCAAGCGGCCTGTCAAGCAGGATGAGAAGGGCTTTAACAACCCCAGGAGCACGTCGCTGTCTTTGCACGCCCAAACTTGCAGAAGTTCTTGGACTTCTGCTTCGAGCGCAACTTGGCAATGATTGCCATTGGCGTTCCAGGATAATTTGTGGAGATGCAGGCAAGCCTTTGCAGAGGCTTTGCCGGGGTGGCAGTTTGGACAGCATCTGATGCCAGCTGGTGCGATATGGTCGTCACAGAGGCCAGCCTGTCCAGCAAGTCCCCGTGCAAGATGCACGAGACTGCGATGGCTGGCGCTTGCTCACTACTGCTGGACTGCGTGCCAGGTGCTTTCTCGGCATCGAAACTGGTGCTTCTGCTGGCTGCTGGGCCAGCAAATCCAGTGCCGAGAGTCCGCGTTGACATATCAAGCAGCTCAGGTCCCAGAAACACTGCAGCGAGCATCAGCGCGACCGTGATGGCACCGAACTCCCTCCGTCCTTCGTTTGCATCGCTTTCTTTTCCGCCTTTGCCCACAACCCGATACAAGCAAGGATGTCGCGGCTTTTCTCTCTGAGAACTCGGCTCCTCGTCAGGACCTGCAAGCGACTTCGCAAAGTGTGGAAGTCAGGAACAAGGCTGGGGTCGCCATGGGACGCCCGCTAGTGCTTCAGGGTGTTTCAGGGTGGCCACCCGCGTTCATGATGGCTGGCCGGCACACATTGCTTTCGAGGTGTGGGTATGTGTGTGTGTGTGTGTGACATGACCCTGGATTTCGATGTCGCTTTAATTGTGGTGCTTCAAGTAGTAGGTGGTGAGTCTGTAAAGCTCGCAAGAGGCGGCGCCGTGGCTTCTGCCGGGAAACGACCGTGATTGTGGAGGAGCCACGCAGACGACTTGCGTGAGACTATCATGAACATAGAGAAGATTGAATAATCAGCTGAGCCGAGTCAGCATCGGCTGCCGCCAAACACCGTCGTTGCCCACGGGGTCGGAATCGATACGGTTTTTGCGGCTTCGGGTGAGCACCCTCCCTGCCAACACTTCCGCTGCAATACCTTGTGCCTACTCTTGCTAAACTCTTCAGCTGCTGTAGTTTGTATGTCAAAATTTGGCTTAGTTTGGGTCCAGTCTTATCCAGAATTGCTCTCCATCAGCGTGGCCTTGTTTTGATGACGCTTCAGCCCTGCTGCAATAGTCCCAGTTATTGCTATCTTAGACAGCAGGACACCGCCGGCAACTGCTTGTACAACCGGGGCAATGCTGTCATTGTGCCCTAGGCCTAGACGAGAAGTAACTTGAGTATGCATGGGTGGCGCCAGAAATTCCGGACATAACATGGCCGGTCATTTGACTTCGAGGCCCACATTCGATGCTTCGGAGGCTGCTGCTGCAACCGACGATGAGCTTCACAAGCTGATGCAGTACCTGGAAGTTGAGGTCGGCTCGACCCGTAGGCATGTTGAGAACATGGAGCTGATGCTCAGAGCATCGCAATGCATGCCAAGCCCTCTACTTGTACCGCAAGTGTCTTATATACCCCGCACCTCCTACTAGTAGGACCTTAGACTCCTATGCTCCTGTCTTCTGCATTGTAGATATGTGAGCTGACAAGCAAAGCGCAAATGAGGGAGAGAACCGCGAATCTGCAACAGCATGATGTGAACACCAATGCAAGACGATCTCGGGGGCGAGTGTCGCAGTAACGATGAATGAGGCGAGGTTAATATGGGAGGAGGCGACGTACATCCGAGAGGAGGGAAGAAGTTCTAACGAACAGCTGATCGCATTGGAGGGCCCTCCAAGCTTACATGCATGAGGATGTCCGTGCCCGCATCGATTCCGGTACTGTTGGAGGTCCTCCCTACTGCGGATGTGCGCCGCCGACATCTGTGGCACCCTGCTTGCGGACAAAGCCCTGAAGCTGCAGGTCCTGTGCTGCAGATTTAAGACGGCACGGCACTTTTTTTGTGGTTGCCGCTGAAGGTGCTGCAGTCTTTCGGCCGCCGGAACGCCACATCCAGGCCTAAGCAAACCCAGAGGTGCGGATTGGGACTCTGGGGTTTGAGATTGCAAGTCGCCCCGAAACAACTATGCAGCTTTGTGTTGTGGTTCCTGTCGGAGCCCCACAAGCTTTGCCTCTAGTTGCCCAAGGTGTACAGGTTGTACAGTGTACAGCAGCCTTGCGAGCACATGCATGATGTGTGCGACTCCGGACACTGTAGCCCGTAAACGGGAGCCACCCAGTGCGATCTGATTCTCGCCTGTGGAGCTTCTGTGAATGATACGTTGCTCAACAACCTTTCGGATTTTTGAAGAGATCAAGCCCCACAGAGAGCTACTCCGATGCTACTTGTAGATGCGCACTCGAGCCTCTTCATTGCAGAAGCCAGCAGGTTTGGGATACTTTTGGGATGAACCGTCATACCATCTCAAGAGCAGCACAGCCAACACGGAAGCCTCGGCAGCACAGCAGCGCCCATGGCAGCGGAGGAGCGCTACCTGCAGCTGCCCTCTGACGGCTCACCTCGAAGAGCAACATGCAAGGATCCGTCCTGGAGACATCTAAAGACGTTTGGCCATAGGGGTTCTGCTGCGAGGTGGAGTGGTATGCCAGATGAATCAGCACGTTCTCGTGCTTGGGAACTGAAGTGAGCGAAGTTACGCAAAAGCATTTGCTTCTCTAAGTTCGAACTTTTGCAACGAAGAACCTGCACGAACTCGCAGGAGGTGATGCGAAAGTTGCCTGGCAGCAGGCTCAGGGCTGCGGCTTCCAGAATTTCACACCAGGAGCTGAGGCTGAGGATCTTTCGGCACCTCTGGCCCTTTGTCTTTGGGTCTGTTTTGAACGGAGTCTGCCGCCCGTTTTGTTGATCGGGACCACTGCTGCAACTCCGAGGCTGGTTCCCATCATCGCACCTTGCTCGAGCCATGAAGTGTTGTGCTCTTTGCATTTGCTTCCATGTTGATTGATACGGGGCGAATCACCGGGGGCATGAGACAGTGCAGAAAACGGTGACCAGTGCATACCCTTAGGGGTACGCCTAACAATGATATTCAGGGCCCCTGTACGCCATTTGCGCAAATACGTTTCCAGGCCCGGGCAGGGATTAATGTATATCGAGGGGGTCGAATATACATTATTATTGGCTGGCTTTTGCTGATCAGATGCGCATTGAAAACTTCGTCGCCAGTTTGTCATAGGTGGCTCTGAAGTTTGTCGCCGGGACTCTGTGGAGGGGTCACCGTTGCGGCATTTCCTGGGTGTCTGGGTGGGTGTGGGTCGGGAGACTGTCGGGAGGGGAGGGGCTTTCAGGTGGCTCTCAGAACGAGTTCGTAGCTCGCCCTGAAGCACATGTGTCAGGCGTCACGTGAAGCGGGGAATGCTAGTACTGGGCAGAGTATGGGCAGTGTATGGGCAGCATCTGGAGAAGGGTTCTCCGGCACTCTCCAGCAGTCTGGGATGTCGCGACAGGCGGGGAATGTATAAGGACAGGGGCTTTGCCACCAACACCCCCCCAAATATACATTAAACTGCCCCTTGCAGGACCGGCTTCCCTTGGCGTTGTCCTCTTTACCCTTCCCCAGAGTGTTTGTACGTTTACGTCCGGGAAGGGTACTGGCCACGAAAACCCACAGTTTATGGTACGAGCCAACCCAGACGAGAGACTCTCTCGTCTGGGTTGGTTTACACGGAAGCAAGACACGTGGGGAATGTATAAGCACAGGGGCTTTGCCACCAACACCCCCCCAAATATACATTTATTACGCCTGGCACGGCCGGGGGAATGCCGGGGGTCTTGCAGATTGTAGTGGATTCTCCAGGCACAGCTTTTGCTCACGACCAGCTGAAAAAAAAAGCTTCCTGTGCAGTCAGTGTGTGGTGCGAGTGTGCTCATGTCCATGTGGTGTCTATGTTAAGCTCATGTTCATGCCCATGTTAGGCCCATGTTGGAAAACCACCTCGTCGAAGGACCCCCCAAACCCCCTCAATATATACATTCCCGCGGCCCCGTAAATGTATATTCGAGGGGGGGCCTACGTTTTTCGAGTTGGGCGTAGGGGTATACCCTTTGTCCCAAGCCCTTTCAGGAATGGCTGCCATCCTACAGATGGAAGGAGAACTTGTTAAAGGACCACGGCTTGAAACATTATCCCGTAGAGTTCGAGACATTTGTGCACTATGCCCAGAAGCACGTGCACGCAAGACACGCACCATTTCTTGAGAATTCTTGCAGGATGTGGCATCCGGCGTCACGCTGGGGTGCGTGTTGTTCGCCCAGTCGCTGGCTCATGCCGCCCTGTCTAAGGCTGTTCCCCTCCCCGTCGCATCCCGGTACATTCCATCATAACGAATAGCGAGTGATTTTTTATCTTAGACGGCCTGCATGGAGTGTCCAGTCGCCTGCAGGTGAGCTTGATCACCGGACCATACAGCTGCCTCTTGCCTCCTGTGCTCTATTCACTCTTCGGCACATGTGTTCAGGCGCGAACGCTCGCAGTCTCTGTGTCAGAACCGATTAGCCTTTGCGATTGTTCTTCGCTTTCGAAGGCCTCTGTGGGAACAGGCGGCCTGGCACCTCAGCCTGCAAGAGGCTGCCATGCTCGAAGGCTGCATCCATCGCCAGATTCTGACGAAGCCCGTGCCAAGGTAGCATTGCTTACAGGCGAGCAGCTTGGCCAAGTGTCAGGAGACGGGAAGTTACAGAGTGACAGAGAGAGAGTGTGTGCGTGCCTCTATTACGCCTCACTGATGCTTGCCGCAGTGTTGTTAAAAGCGGGCTGCGCTCCTGCTACGCTGCCTTCGTTCGCGGCCGTTAAGCTGCTCACAGTGCTGGCATGTGCTCAGCTGCTGGCTGTTTCGGCATGTTGTCTGCAGGAGGTGAAGAGAGGCGGACGCATGCCAGTGCCGAGGACAAAATTGGGTTCCGGCAGTGTGAAGCCCTAGCTTTAAGCTTTGGTAGGGGAGAAATGAGCGACAACATGGCTCATGGTGAGGCTCAGCCTCAATGTTAGCACCAACACAATTGTAATTGTTTCTGCTCGTTTCTTCAAAGATACTTTGCTGATCTTGAAGCAACCTCACACCTCCTGGCTGAGGTGCCATTTTCACTCTGGAAGTTGGGCTTGTCATAGGCACAACGTGAGCTGAGACGGGACTCCACCCTGACGGCGCAAGTGCTAAAGTCAGGTTCTTTGCCCGTTTGTGCTTCGTGGATCCTGCCGCTGGTTGGAGAGCTTGAACATGACAGTCGTGCAATTGCCCGCTCAGAGCAGTTCAATCCATATCACCGTCTCGTGGTTGCTGATAGAAGTGCTTCTGCCGGAGGCTCTATGGGTGTTTTTCAGCTGGCTTTCCTGGTGCGATTTCTTTCCAAACCTGCGCCTCGGCGCAGATGCACAGAGTCAGAGCCATCCACAACAACCCGAACCTCTCGGTCACACAGGGGGCAACAACAAGCAACACTTAAGCTTAAGCTGTCCCATCAGCACTGCCGAGACTTGTGGAGTTCGCGCAAACGGTCGAAGGCTCTAAGTGGCTTCATCACCGCCAGTGCCATACTTATCATCCTTTCCCAAGTCAAGCCAGCGATCGGCTTGCCGCTCCTTGGCCCGCAATGTTGATTGCTCTTGCGACAGTCTACAGCCTACAGCTTGTCGTACTACTTTTCCCCGAGATTTGGCCTCCAGTAGCTGCCGGTTGTTGTTGACTTCTCCACCAGCCAGGAAGACAGATGTTGGAGGAATCTTTGACATCATCTTGACGCACCCAAAGGAGATGGATGATGTGAACCCTGCAACCATTGTGTTCAGCATCTGCCCCTTTGACGAAAACTGTAGTTCAACTATAGGTTTCTTGGAATTGCATGCGCTCAACCACCGGTCTTAATCTGTTTTGGATCAAGCTTCAGTCATTTCTTGAGCCGCCCAGTCCGCTTTCGACCTGTCAACTGGGCGTGGCCTGTCTCGGCCATGGCATAGTACAGACATTTGCTTTGAAAGCTCGACGAGTGCCATGCTGACGAGAGCATGGAATGACCGGCGCTCTGAGGACAAACCTCCCGAGCAGGCACCAGACAGAGGCGCAATGAAGGCTTCACATGCCTTTGCATGATATCCGGGTGAGCAGAGGACTATCTGAGGAGGTCGAAGGATGCGTCAGGTGCAACTGGAGGACCTTCTTGACTCTTGACCACCTCAGACAGAACACGAAGAACCTGTGCATCAACGTATCGCTGACGCCAACAATGTCAAAGGAGTGAGAAGGGACGTTCTGCAGAATGGTTTGCCCTAACTTTGCTCTAGGGGACCAGCGTGGAGGAGAGAAAACAACTTGTCCAGGCCGTAGCCCTCTCCTCCAATCTTTCAGACAGAGTGCAGCGTTGTCGGTCGGAACGACCGGAGAATCGCTGCTGCATTTGCCCAAGAGAAGCAGAATGGGAGAAGTACGTCAGGGGCTGCCAAGGCGCCCGCAGCGTGGTGGGAGGGAGGCTGCTCAGACAAGAATGGATTGGACTCCAGGACCTCGCGGAAAGCAGGCAGCAGGCTGTCGAAAGGCAGAAGGAGCAGAAGCTGGTCCTCCAGGACATAGTCAGGGTATACACGAGGTGTTCTTCGGAGTTGGAAACAACACCTTTGTTTGTGGGCATCAAAGAGGGGCTCGACATGCAGACACAAATGCAAGTCAAGCCAGTCGCAGAACAAGGTGCAGGCGAGAGATCGCAAGAGTGAACGAGGAGGCGAGATGCAAAATCTTCTGCAAGGAGCGGGCAACAGTTGCGTTTGAGCCTTGTTGCCACATCCGTTCTGTCTATCCTGTTACCAAAGTATGTGTTATCATGGCAAGGAGTGCCCAGTTTGCAAGCATTTATGGTGGACTTATCTGGGTCTGTCGCAGACGTCACCGGGACTGGACTTACCTGTCTTGGTTGTCAAGGTCTTAGCCGCGGCTTGTGACTGGGACTTTCTTGCATTGCACTTCAACTTGAGCCTGCGCTGTCAAGTACTTGTGTGTAGCTGTGGTTGGGTCGCAAGTTGAAGTGCCTGCATTGTCTTGAATTTGAAGGACCAGTCGTCATGAATCCTTGCGTGGCTGGGGCCCCCATAAGCGGAGCCTGTCCTGCAGGCGTCCTGCAAAGGGTGCGTAATGGTGCGCAATTCATGCACGCCGACTCAGACACCCGCGGCAGCAGAGAGCATCGAGCGAGAAAGTTGTTCTGAATGAAGGAAGAAGGGCTGCGCACTGCCGGAGATGGTGATGCAAGTTGAGACATGCTGGCGCCTCTCCCGGTCTTTGTGCACCACCTAGGTATTTGGCTGTTTCTACATGTTGCGAAGAGACTGAAGTCCATGGGCTCGTGGCTGAAGGTGGTCGCGGAATTTAAGGAGGCTCGACGTTGGAGCTGCAGGATTTTGGCATAAGTTGGGATGTTCGATGAGAGAGCCACAGGGCGCAAAGACTTCTGAAGGTCGTCTTGCTCGTGATGTCGGCACTCATTGCAAGCAGGCCGCGCAGATGTTGGTCGGGATCGCTGATTTCTGTGTTGCGGATCGAGCTGGGCAGTAAGGGCAGCAGTCCAGTCCATTTCGACAAAATGGCCCTGCCCGACATAGGGCATCAGTCACCGGCGAGATAGTTAGAGGTTGCACTCGCATCTTTTTTTCCCGAACCCCTGAAATGGCCCGGGCCAGTGCACTCTCTGTTTGTGCGAACCCAGGATTGCAGAGCCCTTCGGCATCGCTGTCATTGGCCATGTTCCCGAAGGGTTCCCTGCGCTGGCATGGCCGCTACAGACAAGCCACAAGCCTGAGCAAAGCTTCACAAGCCTCTGGAGCTTGTATGTCAGTTTGGGATTGATTCCTGCCAGATTCAATTTCTTCATGGCTGCTACATCCCTTCGACTGACTGGGTAAGTAGATGGTTGACATACCAACACCACTAACAAGACCGAAGCAAACGGGCGAACAGGAAAGAAACGGTACTGTAGCAATCCAAGACTTAGCAGACTTAGCAAAGCATGTCAGCGCGCACGCCCAAATATCACCAAATCACACGGGCCACCCCCTTATGGAATTGATTAGTGAAGACTTTGCTGGGTGCTCTCGAGCAAAGGTGACGATTGGCAGCTGGCGAAGGAGCTTTTGCCCGGGGCCGTGATGCCGCTTGGCTTGATGTGCCACGGAAGTACAAGCAGTAACATGCGCAGAAAGTGAAATTTGAGAGACCAGGTCTACTAGCCTACTGCCGATAGTATCATTGTTAGCATTGCCACAGCAGCATCACCACCGGCACTGGGACAGCCGAGAGCTGGCAGTTGGTAATTAACTAAATCCGAATGCTTCGTGGTCTAGAGGGGTGAATGGCATTTTGCCACAATGATGTCAGTTTGGTTCAACCAGAACCCACTAAAAAACATGACCTGCTCGAAGTGAGCGGGGTTAGATGAGTTCACGAGGATCTTTCTGCCACCTGACTCGTTCAGCCATGCAGCAGGCAAAGAACCACTACCACTACCCTACGATAACGACGACTCCTCCAACTCCTACTGACTCCTACTCCTGCTTGAAAGTGGCGGGATTCTAGAACCACTAACGTTTGCCGGTCATTTTGGTCATCTTGCCCCACCTGGGGGGCGGGGGGGTGCAGGTCCACCGCCTGCTCTTTTAACATTCCGCTAAAGTAGCAGTAGTCCTCAGCCTCTTGGTGCTATAAACCCAGTTAAGCGGGTCACCGGAGCAGGCTGGCGGCTACTTCTACCGGCACTACTCCGAACAACAACTACTACTGCTGCTACTGCCACTGCTACTTCTGCTGATACGACTACTACCGCTACTACTTGGACGACGACGACTACTACTACTGCTGCTATTACCTTTACCTGCTGTACTGCTACCACTGCTGCTGCGACTACTAGTACTACTACTTCTTCTTCCGCTGCTACTACTGCTACTACTACTGCTGCTGCTACTGCTACTACTGATGCTGCTGCTGCTACTACTACTACTACGACGACGACGACGACTACTACTACTACTACGACTACTACGACTACGACTACTACTA